ATATTTCCAGGATGAAGATCTCGATGTACCATTTTAGAATTGTGAATAAGAGTAAGTTCTTTGAGTACTTGTTGAAGCAACGAGTATATTTCTTTCCAGCAAAATTTATTATTTTCATCAAATATGAAAGAATTTAGGTCTCCACTTTTCATGTATTTTAAAATTATCATATATTCTAAATTTTCAGAAGATTTAGTCAATCCATAGCATTTTACACCAAGTGACTCAAGGCTTGAAAATATCATATGAGACATTGCCTGTTAAATAAACTAAATTAAATTAATATTTAACCAGACCATAGGCAAATAGTACTATAAATAAGCAAACCTCTTTAAAATATTCAATATTTGGATTATTAGAATTATTCAATGATTTTAATATGATTTCTTCAGATCCAGATCTTATAAAATTTTGATTGTCATTATTCCATTCAACGATCCAACCGTCAGTCCAAATGGCAGTGTATACAGATCCAAATCCACCTTTTGTTTTATATTCGACATTCTTAAATTTCTCAAAAGGTACCCATTCAATGATTGTGTTTGGTCTTGGATTTCTTGTTTGACAAACTCGAAGTTGATCAATAAGTACATTACTAGATGTCCAATTATTAAAATTGGATTCGAGATGCAGTCTTATACATTCTGTTTTATGATTTTCGGCAATAACTTCTAAAGCAATTTCATCGTTTGGATCAATATCTAAGACCCTATTAAGATCTGCAAGTGAATTTTCAAATAGGTTCAATTTATAATAAGTAGTACTTCGATTTCTAAGTGAATCTGTATCTCTTGGATTAATTTCTAATGCCCGGTTCAGATCTGCAAGTGAATTCTCATATTGACCTAACATTCCGAAAATAACACCGCGGAAATTAAGTGCTAAAATATTGTTTGGATCATTTTCCAATGCTTTATTTAAATCGATGAGTGAATCGTTATATTGCCCTAAAACTTTATAAGTTTCTCCACGACTTCTAAGCGCAAAAGAATCATTCGGATCGATTTCCAACGCTTTATTTAAATCTTCAAGTGATTCTTTAAGTCGGCCCAACAACCTATAAGTTACCCCCACGATTAACAAGCGCATGCTCGTCGGTTTGATTAATTTCCAATACTTTATTTAAATCTATAAGTGACTTTTCATATTGGCCTAGCAATCTAAAAGTAACACCACGGTTAACAAGCGCATGTTCATCATCTTTATCAATTTCTAATGCTTTAGTTAGATCTGTAAGTGATTCATCATAGCGACCTAATAATTCGTAAATCTCTCCTCGGTTAATAAGTGCATCTATGTCATCTGGAACAATTTCTAATGATTTACTTAAATCCGCAAGTGATTGTTCATATAAACCTAGCATTTTATAAGAATATCCACGGTTTATAAGGGCATATGTATAATTTGGATTAATCTCTAATCACTGTTAAAATCAACTATTGATTCTTCATATCGATTTAGTTCTTTATAAGTAGCACCACGATTATTAAAGGTTTCCGCATTATTTGGATCAATTTCAAGTGACCTATTTAAGTCAATAAGAGATTCTTCGTACTGACCCAGTAAGCCATAAGTAACACCACGAGCTCTAAGTGCGTCAGAATTATTTGGATCAACTTCTAATGCTTTATTTAGATCTACAAGTGATTCTTCAAATTGATCTAACATTTGACAAGAAATTCCACGGTTGATAAGCGCATCTTTATTAATTGGATCGAATTCTAATGCTATATTTAGATCAGCAATTGATTCATTGTATTCTTATTATAAGTAATTCCACGATTTCTAAATGCATCTATATTACATGGGTCTATTTCTAATGACCTATTTAAATCTGTGAGTGAATCTTTGTACCGGTCTAGTAGCCTGTAAACAATTCCACGACTTATAAGTGAGGATACATCATCCGGATTAATTTCCAATGAAATATTCAAATCTGCAAGCGATTTTTCATATTGACTTAGTCGTATTTCGTGGTCACTAAGGGCGGATACATTATTTATATCGGTTGTTTGAAACATTTTATTAAAAATGCTCTATTCAAAAAAAAAAAGAATATAATTTTTACATTACAGTTAACGCATTCGCCACAATAGTATAAATTATTAATACTTACATCTAGCAAAATTATTTTGTGATTTCACCTAGTTAATGTTACTTGCTGAAATTCAAAAATAATTTCAACGAATTTTTATATTTTGACGAATTTCGAAAAGCGAATGAATTTCACGATCATTTATTAAAAATTATATTCGAATTTAAGTTAAGTACATAAGTACAAAATTTTAATTGTACAACGATAATACAAATTCGGAGAGACCTAGTTTTGTATCTTTTAACAGTGTTCTCTGAGTTGGTCAAAATTTTTAAACTGTAACGATTTGAATCAGTATCTTCAACTATTTCAGTAGCAACGTTGGCAGCTTGAAGCGATTGCGCGTATAAAATTGCACTTATGGACAATCGGACAACCAAAATTTTATATGTCCAACTAGCTGGACATATGTCCAATACTGCCCAGTAAATATCACGAGAAATAAGTACATCTACTTTTGCAACCGTACATCAAATATAAATCGCGACAAAATTATTTACATCTTTGAGTAGATATCTCGATAATCACTTGCCTAAATTTGTTGAAAACTTTAATTCTAGAATATATCAGATATAGAATTAAAAAAAAAATTCTTATATTTTGTTGGATAATTGTTATCTTTTAAGGCTTTAAAAAAAAATTCAAATCGTTTATGAAAATATGAACTTTTTAATTTACGAATACTGTATACCAAAATTTAATTGCTTACATGAATAATTATTATTTTGATGAAGAATGCGTGGGTATACGTAAAAGCACATTACGTTTTAGCTGTGCGAAATAGATTAACTTGACTTTCATCTCGGATTGGACATATCAATATATAAGGTGAGTATGGGTATTATGACGCAGTCAAGTATTATAGCGAATAACTTGTGATCTATCGATCATAATCAAATAATTTTGGCACCATTCGATTCGTCTCATCGAGACGAATCGAATGATACCAAAATCATCCGATTCTGATTGCTAGATCACGAGATATCTTTAATTTAAAAAAAGCTACAAAAAAGATAAATTAAGGTGAGCATGGGT